TGTTTTGAGTAGGCGGCGATGAGTCTAATGGACAGGAGCTAGCAACAACACTGGATACCAATAACGTGCTGTTATTCCCTCGCTACAGCATACAACCGATAGTTACAGCTTTAAAGTAAATTCTAAGAATACCTCATGAACTCACTTCTCAACCTTCTGACCTTAACTAATTCTCCATTCTAAGCATTTTTCTGGCTGAGATCATTTCATAGGTAATTCTTGAGGTTGATAAATGAGTACCATTCTTTGAGAAGGAAACAAGAGACTACACGATGTACTTGCCACATAGGTGTAGATTCTACCTTTAAAAAATAAGACGTTTCTGGCTGACGGTATGGATAAGCACCGCGCCATAAGCTTCATAAACAGAAGGCCTTACAAAGGGCTTCCAGTCGTGTAAGTCTAAGGAGACCAACATCCTAACGACTACAAACTTTCCTTTGTTCCTTTTTTGTGAACTACCTGGCATCAGAAATAAAATTACGCCCTGCCCGAACCCTGCCACACTGATTACCAAGCCACTGTGACCGAATGAAACTGAAAATTTCTTACTGTCCACTCTGCTGACCAACGTTTCCAATTTCGTGACCTTTTTCTGGATGCCAGGCTGAGCGAAGGTGTAGTTATCCTGGATGGTGTCCAGCAAAGCCGACACGCACCAGTAGCTGTCTGCCTCGATGACGTTGCGCTCTTCGTCGCTCATCGACAGCAAGTCGAGGTCAGCGATGTCCTCGCCGTTGCGTTCTGACAAAAACACAATGAAGAACGGGGTGACCAGGTCGTTTATGCCTTGCACATAGCCACTGGCAGGGTGACGATATGCCCAGATGTACAAAATCCGTTCGAACATCTGCAACGAAACAACCGCTTTAACGCAATTACTTTCCAACCGCCAAAAACTAACCTCTTGTACAACCTTCTGCTGAAACAGCGGAACAAGGGGCGACATTCTAGGGATGTCGATCTGAATCTAGAGAAAACAAACGTAAAAGGGAAGCAAAATATTAACATATTTAATTTTTAAATTAAAAAAACTACTGCCATTTATTCTATCCCTTCAAAATTCAGAAGCGTGGCAAATATCCAAACACTGAAAAATATAAGGAACGTTTGTAAACATTCGAATGTTAACGCTTGCACTTTCATGACTGGATCATTTTCGGTGCCCTTGCTTTTCATGAAGATAATGGCAGGGCGCTGATCCCCATGATCATGCCATCGGCAAAGAGCGTTATTTTAAAGGCAGAATCGACAAGTGTAGTAGGTGTTGTATGCAATCTGCCGTTTCCTTCTCACAGACTGACACTCATTTCTCAATATAGGAAGGATGAAAGGAAAATAACCGAAGCTGGATTTGAACCCGGGGCCTATCGGCTTTGAGTTCAACGCTCAACCCACTGAGAAACCCCGGTTTTTAAACTTGAAGAGGCTTGTACCGCTTTTCAAAGTTGTCCTTGACCAGCATAATTCTGGAGAATCAGATCGACAGAAGTGTGATAGCAGAACCTCATTTCCTGTCCTGGTGTCATAATCATTGTTTCTCTCAGCAGCATGGCTTATGAGAATAAACTTGGTCTTCATGCCTGTTTTCCTCTTATCCAATTTATAAACTTCTTCCATTTCACCTTTCTGTGGTATGCAGCTCAATTCTCTTCGCTTGTGGCACATTAAAGCCATCGGTAGTAGAAGGCTTTTTCAACTAGTAAGAATTTTCTCTACTTAAACGGTACAAAGTTTCAAATTGTCAGCCTATTCAAAACGAATGGTTTCGAAGGTGACCCATGACTTTCCTTTCTCCTTATTCTGACGTTACAGGTTTCAGCACAGAAACTATCAACAGGGATATTTCACAAACAGTGATACGGCAGACAGCTAGGCAATAAAGTACAAAAAAACAGACAGTAAAAAGGCACAAATGTAAAACAGCATTAAAGGAATCTTTAAAGGATAGATGAACGAATGGGGATTAGTTGCCAGATATTGGATGCTTCAAAATGAAGATGCGGATAATGCAATGTTAAACTAACGAGAAACCCATATAATAAATTTTCAAGCAGAACAGATGTCAGTGGTTCTATATCTTTTCTTTGTTCAGCGAAATATGCAATATAACTAGGACTACTTCATAAAACTCTAGGCCTGTTACTTTCACAGTCATGCAACCAGGTGCCTTTACAACTGAAGATATGAAGCATTCCAAGGAATGTACTACAATTCTACAGTGCTCTGAACGATTCCTTCTCACAGAATGGGTGTTCGTTTATCCGTACTTTCAGAGTTCTCCAGTGTTTATCAATGTACATGACATCACAATCATCACAATTTATCGAGAGACAGCATTAGTTTTAATATGAGCAAACCATAACGGGAATTAATTTACTAATTAAGTAACTGATAATTTAGTCCATAATGAACAGTATGCTTTTGTTAGAAAGATATTTCAGTGGTGTCGAAATGAAGAACAAGATAAAAAAACGTTAACCATCCTAATTCCTCAACCAATTCTTCCTCTACGCTCTAAAAAACACCTGAAATTCAAACTCGAAAACAAACTTCATCTGAATGATAAGGATTCCTCAAATTTGCATTCCTAGAACACGCGACGCCTTCAAAAAAACTCTGACCGTTTTTGAAATCAGATGCCCAAGTTAGAACGCAACACAGAATTAGACACAAACATTAAAAATATAAATATGATGAAGATTTTACTGCTGGAAATTCATCAGCAAAAAAATCAAAAGCTTACGCAGTCACAAAAACACAGTACAAAATGTCAAGAAAATCACATCAACAGGATCAGCACGATTATACAAGGAAAAGGACAACAGAGAAAAATGTAAGGTGTAGAAGAATTAAAGGAAAGAAACAGTTGTACTTCAAGCAAAGTCATATAGCAAGTTGCAAAAGCTTAGCAATCTTTGATAGTCAAGGACAAAACATTTGAATGGTCCCACAGACACCGAAGACCATGGCAGCGGCGCCGCCATACGCTGTATAACTCCACAGTGGAGTTGGACCTAATCATATATTTCACACCAGACGTAAAAGCCATAATCTCCTCGTTTGAGAAAAAGAAGAAAGGAAGTAATGTGTGTAACAACTGGAATGCCAGTCTTCCTTGCAGATTCATAAGGCCATTTGCAGAGTCCTTCTTTTTATGAGCCTCATGCTGTGGCGCAGATGACAATTTACATGACATCAGTCACGCTTATTTTAAAAACAGAATCGACAGCAGGTATTTGACAAGCATAGTCTGTATTCTCCTGTTTCCTTCCCACTCACTTATCAACCTTGAAAGGAATCGGTCTTTGAAGAAATAAAACGCTTATTAGTAT